AGCAGCCGCCCACCATGCAGAGACATGTCGTGTCTGTCAGTGCCGCAGCCACAGAGACGAGAGCGCCGGTGCAGGCGGATGGCGGCAGCATGGGCGCAGACAGCAGCAGAGCTGCGGCCGAATGAGCTCGACGGCTGGAGAAGGCCCTGGGAAGGCTGGTGCACCTGCACTGCTGCCCCATGACAGGGCTGAAAGCCTGGTCAGGAGCATCCGTGTTAGTAAAGACAGTGCCCAGTGCTGCCACCATCTTGCCCAATGCTGCTCAGGTGCAGGCAGGCAGAGAATGGCAGGGTTTGCCTAAAAACCCACCTGGGGCTCCCAGGGTTCAGGGGCCTGAAGTCCTGCACTGAGCCCTGCATCACCCTCCTCTCCCGGGATGGGACAGGACAGGCAGTCACCAGGGGAGATTCACTTGTCTCTCACGGGCATCCCCGGTGCTGCCCCATGCTCCCTCCCACGCAGCCAGCACTGCCTGCCCTATCCCACCCTCCCAGCGCACTGCTCAGAGCACAAACGACCCGTCAAATACACAACGAGGGCCTGACACGGGGTACCACTCCCCTGCCTGCCACGCAGGACACGCTCAGCACCCCTCTCAGAAGACACCGATGGCATCAAAACAGGGCAGCTCTCTTGCCTGGCTTGTGCCGAGTCTGTCATGCACCCTTCCCGTCCACCAAGGCACAGAACAGCCAGCACACCTGCAGCACACAAAACTTCAGGAACATCGAGATCACTGAAGAAAATGCTAGACAGCTGAGCCAAACATCCACACGAGGTGGTGCTCAGACAGGCCAAACCCTTGTTTTACTACAGAGCACCGAGGATGTGCACTAAACTGGTAAAGCAAGAGCTGCACTGGTTTCCACTGGGGGCCCAGACAGCAGCAGTTCAGACACCCCAGTCCCTGCAGGAGATCTTTTTGTACCCCACAGACCGTGAATGTCCACCCAGACCTCTTCTCAGGGAAGGTCTTTCTGACACCAGGGAAGAGGGTTTCCATCAGACACCTCGTTTCCACTCAGAGTTAAGGTCCCTTTTTGGGGAGGGCTTTTCCCCTTCCGCTTTTTCCCCCCTCCTCGCTCCGAGACCTGCCTGAAGCGCAGCACAAGAGGGGGATGCCCCACTCGGGGCTGGCTCTGCATTCACTGCTCCCGGAGTTCAGGGTTAGAGGCCCGTGAGATCAACGATGGCTTTAATAAAGATGGCATCATCACGCACGTAGGAGTTCTTTGCTTCCATTACGGAGACGGGGCAGAACAGCGGGCAGCCGCTGGCAATGTTCATTTCCGTGATGGGTCGCTGGAAGGAGGAGGATGTCACGTCGGGTCGGAAGGCATCGATGATGTGCTCCCGGTTGTTCTGATCCAGAAGCATCAGGGTCACCTGTAGAGAAATGTGAAAATGTATGAGCACAGCTGAATAAAAAGCACATGGAAACCCAGACCAGCCACCTGCTTGCTCAAAGCCTGTGATACATGCAAGTACAAATGCTACGTCATGTGCCTGAGAAATGCCTGTAAGTAGAGTCAGCAGAGAATGTCATCTCAGCGACATTCTGCAGAAATCTTCCCACATCCTGCCCTGTCACTGGAAACTTCCGTGTGGCAGCACAGGGCTGTCAGACTGACTCTGAAAACCTGCAACTGGCCGGCATGGCGTTCGCTCCCAAACCAATACCCCACGCAGGTATTTCATTAAATCACAGAGTTGCTGTCGCTCTGCGAAAGAAGGTGGTGTTTCTCTCTGCATCAGTGTTTCGCCCGCTCAGCCTCAAAGTGTTTCACAAACCTGCCACGTCTAGGAACTGGAATCAGAGCTTCTGCCACCGAGTGTCAGCTGCACCCTGAGTATCGAGGCCACAACTTTCCCTTGCCCTGAATTCATGCAGAGGCTCCACTCGCTTTCCAAACATGCTGCTGCAGCCTCTGCTGTTTCGTTCCCCTGCCCTGTAGCACACTCGGTGCTTTCAGCACAACTGGGGAATCGCCAGGGCAGCCAACATATCAAAGTCCTTCCTTCTTCTTCTGCTTGCTAAGTAGGTCAGAGCAACAGCATCTAGAAGTTCAAGTGTGTGCAAAACTAGAGAGGCATAGCGGCCTTGTCCCAAACCTACCTTCTGGTTGAAGGGCCACCGCAGAAGCGCGTCGTTGGGTCCTTTCATCACCACAAAGAACAGGGACAGATGGGTCCCACGCCCAGTGCCGTCCCCATTCAGGTAAACACGCAGACACATCTTGTAGCCGTACTTGCTTGTGTAGAAAGCTATCAAAGAGTTGCAAAACAGACACAGTGAGTGTCAAACCCAGCAGCAAAGCCTGGCACCAACAGGTTCCTTTGAACTCTGAGGACTCTAAAGTTTGAATCCTGGAGGAAGCCAGGTCTGAGTCTTAAAATACCTGCACCATGGAGATGGTCTGGAAAGCCACCGGCTACAAACAACAGTCAGATGCCATCTTAGACTGGCCAGGAGACAGGCCAAGGTCAGGCAGTCACAAGTCCCTGGCCTAGCCGAGACGCAGAGCATGGCATGGGCACAGCTGGGTACAGGCTCTGGGTTCTCAGGCTCTCTCCTTCTCCAGCAATTCTGGGAATGCCCACGTTGTGAAACCAGACCCGTGCAAGGCCACAGAAATACATCTTGGAAGAGGACCTGCTACAAACCACCCTCTCACAGCGGCACAGTTACATGCCTCAGGTCTGGGGAGGCTCAGCAGCCTCAGGGCACAGGGCAGGAGATCAGAGACAGCGTTTTACTGTGGGGCTCTGTGCGCTTTTATGAACAGGCAGACTAGCAATAGCAGCGACACTGTGCACTTCACGGGGCGAGGAGGAAGAGATCAGGGCTTTGCCACCACTTCCTCCTGGCACTCCCCAGCTCGTTTTCTCTAGGCCTTCCTCTCCACCTGCTTCACCTAAAGGCTTTCAGGGCAGATGCCACTCTCTGCTAGTCCAAGCAGCACATCCTCACTGCCCACGTGGGGCTTCTCAGCACTCCTGTAACCCTGTGAATGTAAAACCAGGCAGGGAGCTGGAGGAAGGCCCCAGCGCGGTGGGAGTACCCAGGAAAAGGCACCAGGCAGCCAGAGTGCTAAACACCTCGCGCACCACGCTGCCGGCTCGAAGCAGGGCATCCTGCTTCCCACCGGCTCGAGCAAAGGCAAAGCGCCTCGGAGGCAACGCAAGAGCCCAGCAAGCCACCCCCGGCACCTGACGGCCAGCAGCGGGTGGCTCTCCAGCAGGACCTTCGCTCTCGACTGCGCCAGTTCATGCCCCCGACAAACCTTTCTTGTGAGGATTTGCCTTTTTGAACTCTTATGATTTTGCCCTTTGCAAAGTTGTGTGGCAATCATTGTGCCCTCACAACGCGAGTGAGTGGTAACTCTACTTCCTTCTCCTTGTTTTAGCACTGATTTCATTTGATATTACATCACCTTTATGTTTAAATAAAAACCAATTATACTCATTTCCCTTTTTCATCCCATTTGCAACCTAGACCTCTCTCCTCCTAGCTGTCTCGTTGCCAGACTGAACAGCACTAGTCTATTTGCTTCACTTTCTAAGAGGAAAAAAAATCCCACACCTTCACAAGAAACCTGTGTTTCTCAGCCTAATTTTCTCAGCTAAAGCAGCACCAGGAATGAGGATCTTTCATCTGAGCAACACAATCGACTACTGCAGGAAACAAGGCCTCATACTTTGCACTTGCAAGAGAAAGAAAAAAAAAAAAAGAAAGTCTTGCCTTTTCCAGAAACAGCCCCGGTGTGAGGCAGAGGCAACCCTCACCTTCCAACCCCTCCAGCCACACGCACGATTTTCATGAGCAGACTGCAGAGACCAACCAGCAACATAAAACACAGTCTGGTGGCCCACAAAGTAGTTTTTCCTTTGATGAAAGTTTATGAAAGCCCTGAGCCCTGTCACCGCTGCCAGGCGTGGGATGGAAACCAGCCAGCACGCAGCACGGAGGAGGAGGCACCAGTAACCATGAGCTACAGTTCTGGGAGAAGCTGTGCGTTCAGAGCATGGCCGAACAACTGTCCGGACAGACGAAGCCTCTGGCATTCGGAGAGGTTTCACTCCTTCCCCTCCCTCGTGCTCTCTCTGATACTTACACCCCTCCACCAGCTGACTTGATTCTCAAACTTAGAAAAAGAAATCCCACCCCCCTTGCAAGGACCCCAGTGGCATCTGCCGATGGAGGGGCCTGAGGAGCCCCTGAGCTGGGGCACAGCGAGCCGGGATGCCGGTGGCCACAGGACAAGGTTCAGCTCTGTCCAGCATCTCCCTCCAAACCACAGCCTCTGGAGATGTTCAGGTCAAGCAGCTCTTGAGCACAGTGCAGGAGATGGACAGGATGCAAGATTTAAGGTCCTCTCTCTAAGCCAAAAAAAATAGACTTGAAGCCGTTTTGTTCACTTTGGGTGAAGGAAGGAAGCACTGCCCTTCCCGGAGGGGACAGAGAGCAGGGGTTTTCCACAGCTGCTGCTGACATTTAAAAGGAAATGCTAATTGCATGTGCACAGTTTAGTTCCCCTCAAGAAGGGGAATCCTTTTTTCTTTCAGTTTTTCAAGAGAAAGAGGACTCTGAATAGCCTTCATCCAGAACACAGGTGTAAAAATAGTTTTAAAAATTAAATTGTTTTTATCTTAAGGCCCAGGCACAGCACCAGGAAGCAGGTATAAGGTATGTGCTCTAAGTTTGCATGCAGCTCTGAGCATTTTGAAAAAGCTCTCCAGCACACTTAGATCTAAGCAATTCCTGCTCAGGCAAACACAAATTCCCCTCTTCAACCATTTTGTTGCAAGGTGAGCTCCCCACCAAGCAACGAAATTACGTGAAGAGATGGTTTCATCTTACAGCTGCAAGCCTGGGAAGTGCTTTCATAAGCAAACAAGCCAGATCATAACCTACTGCTCACTATCCGAGATTTTCTTTTTTAAGAACAGAAGGAACAGTGCTGGGCTGGGGCAGCTCTGCAAGGAAAGCCTCTCCCTCTAACAGATATTCAAGCACTAGATATGGTTTGGCCTTTATTTAGACGTTGTTTCTTGCAACGTCATGCTTTGGGTACTAAAATATATTTTTGGGCCTCTAATATATATCTCCTCCAATCCTTAACTATTTTATCACTGGCTTTATGGTCCCTGAGTATTTCAATTCTAAGTAAAGGGTTATGCAGGGTTACCCTGGAGCTAAGAGGGTTGCATTCTCCATTATGAGAAATTAAAAAGGTCTTCTGTAATCAAAAAAGCACCCCTTTCAGTCGAGCAGTTTCATTTAGCCCAATGCTAAAAAAAGTAATATTCCAGGCTCCTCAGGGGAAGGGGGACAAAACAGAAGTAAATCTGGATGGGCAGCACCTCCCCTGCTAAGGACACCGCTACAAATCTCACACCCAGCTGAGACGCAAAAGGCTTTTGCAATTTTGCAAATTTGTGGGCAATAACCTGGAGAGAAGATCGCAGGAGAGCGGCCTGTTATCGCCTCCTGACGCTTCCTGGCAAATTCTGTTATCTTCCAGATGAAAACACCATCGTAGGTGGAAGCTTCCATGTTCCGGATCTTTTCCTCCATCTCAGCCATGGCCAGATCTTTGAGCCCAATGCTCCTTTCCAGCTGCCGGACCTGCTCAGTGGGATACACGGTGCAGCCTGGTTAGAAACATGTACTGCTGTGAGACCTAAGAAAGCCAGCAGACACCAGCATCCCCTCCAGGATAACTCTTTAGTGAGAGATGTCCTCCAGAACTGACAGGGGCCACAGGAGGGAGAAATTTAGCATCGTAAGCCAATTCACTGAAGCTTCCTTTTGAACCTGTCATTATACATTGATACAGTTCAGTGCTTGAGCTGGAAACTTTCCCAGAGCGAATGTAAAAATGCCCCCAACGAGCAGCTCTGTTACCTTAACAGCACAAGAAGTGAGGATGGGGTGGGGGGAAAACCAACCCAAAACCTCAGCATTGTGACAAAACTAGACTGAGAAAGAGAACCACCGACACCCAGACAACAAGGTCTCCACAGGGTTAATCACTGCTAGCTAACGTAGGGTTACGCCAGTTTTGGCAGCTCCCTTGCCAAGAGAGCACAGGTACGCTGCAAACTGCACAACTCCCAGCTGCCAAGACACACTGGCAGCGCTCAGCAGGGACTGTGCTGGAGCATACTGGTGGGGGCAGCTTCTTCACACCTCCAGACCATGCTTGGCACAACAGCGTAGCGCAGCATCAGTGATTACACTCCTTTTGAAAGATCTGGAAGGTGAGCAGCCCCATGGATTCAGAGAGGTCCACTGAAATGCTGGGTGCTCTGTCTCTTGTTGGAAAACTTCACCTAGCAACATCTCAGTGTCTGCATAACTTGATTACTAATAGAGATCTGAATGCTTTATGCAAGTCAGTTTAGTTCCCATCTTTTCCAGGAAGATTTTGATGGATGGGCACGGGCAGAAAGGATACTGTAGTTCTGCCTTCAAATTTGTGGAGTTTCAGGGCTAGGCGGTGAAGCTTTCCTAGCTAATAACATGGAAAAGAAACTAAAAAAAGTCTCCGCTCACAGTGCTGGAAAGCACAAGCCAGTGGTTACATACCTTGTTACTCAGCGTTTCGATTTTCTCCTGGTCTAGTCGATGTTGCCGACTGTAGGCTTCGGCTGGTTGGGACCCTCTTTCCACCTCCCGATTGAGCACACAGACAATGTTCTCAAAGGTCACTGTTTTCCTCTCAAGGGCTTCACATCTTCCCAAGAGCTCCAGGGACCTGGACAGCTCCGACTCCGAGCACAGAGAGTTTGCTGCCAATAGCGGGGAGTTGTTTTGTGATGAGGAAAGAGCAGGAAGGGGCTTTAGGTCTCCAGACCCAGCCTTGAGGCTGAGCACAAAACTCAGCAGCATGTAGAGATGCTCTGCCAAGCACTTGCTTTCGTGTTCTGGCAGCTTTTCATTCTCCACCTACATGAAGAAAAATACATCTCCCATTCAGCAAGCTCAATCTACACTGTCACCATCCACAGAACAAATTCCTCCTTTTGAGGTCACAACATTAGCTCTAATTTATAAAGGAGAAAAACCAAAGAAAGATAGTTAAAAAACCTGTTTTGGGGGTGTGATCATTTGTTTTGTTTTAGAAATGCTGAAAATCACATACAATGATGGATGCTTAACGCTTCCCCAGCTCTACACACTGCTCTACTCTGTCTTCCTCCATTACTTCACAAAAGGGCTCCCTCCGTCAGATGTACTTAACAGCATCAAACAACAAAGCCTCACATAATCCCCCTGAGGAGGGATTTAGATCAGCTTCACTAGTAGAAGCGGGGAAAACTAAGTCACATGGAGAAATATGGCCTGGTCCCAGTTCTGTGCTTACGGCTAAAAGCAGCTTAACCACCAGAGACTCAAAGCACTCAGGGTGCTCCTCAAGAAGGAAGAGGTTTCATTCCATGTTAAGTTCATTCTCTGGATACCTGAACTCTGGACAGCAGATGATGTTAAGCTCCATTTGCAAAGGGTTTGAAACACCACTTCAAATATCTGAACACAAACATCTGTAACGGTTTGGGCAACAGCAGTTTGCAGGTTAAGTCTAACACTGGAACTGAAAACAAGTCCCAAGATAAACATCAACAGACAAGCCCTTACCACCGCAGCACACCCGACAACCTCAAATCTGCAAGGCACTTTAGATCTGCCGCAAGTCTTCACATGGTCCCGAAACTAGAAAGGGAAGAAGGCAATGTTAGATCTTATGTGTCCCCAGTAGCTCCCTTACCATCTCACTGACGTCTAGGAAACTGAAGAAGATCTCAAGAACACCCAGGCCACCACTAATCACTAGCTGCCCAAGTGCGTGGTTAAACCTGGACACTGCCTACCCTTAGGTATGACCTTCACGGTAATATAAATATAGCACTGACACCTGAAAGTTTTATTTCTCTTGACAGCTAGGAGGTCTCACTTCTCACCTGCATATGCAAGAAAGAAAAAGCAACCAGCACAGGCACATGTTATGGATGCTGAGCAACAAGCTTCACTGAGGGCAGAGGAAGGGGAGGCATGAGGAACAACCCTATGCAACAGATAGCCATTTCATTTTGTGTACTTCATGTGACTCTAGTCGGGACATGCCACAGCTTGGTATTTTTACTTTCAGCTAAGTATTATAAATCTGAGAACAAAAAGCTTCCTGGTGGTCCTGCCTGAGTATTTATAGCAATCACTGCAGGTCCACCTCTGCAAGGGAAGATGCTCTGCTGGGTCCAATCCCCTTGCTGGGGTGCCGAAGGACGTGTACCTCAGCCACCTCTTGTCTAACAGCTGCTGTGAAGAACAGAGGCCAACAGTGGATATTTCTACAGAGAAGTGCCACTAAACCCCCAGCCACCAAGATGACTCGCTTGGGTTCCCACACAGTGCATGATAAATGCTAACAAGCACTGGCACATCATCATCTTGTTTTTGATGTACCTCTGATCATCAGATATCAGTGGTCTGTTCAGAACAACAACCATATTCCACATTTAACACCTACATCTGCTACAACAGATGTCGATTAAAACTGTTTTTAAACCACTTTTTAAAAAAGTTTCTAGATCCATCTGGCTTGCTTAATGAGTCAGGTTACTCAGAGTTACAATGGCTGCAGCTAATCAACAAAAGTTTGGAGAGAGATAAAAGAGGGAGTTAATATTTAAACAAAGGGTAGATCACCTATGGGAATCCTACAAGTCTAGTCTCTGCTGGGCTCCAGCTTCAGCCTGCAGATGGGCAGATCTATATCCCAAGACCCCAGCACCAAGTCCTTCATTACGCTGCCCATTTAGAATTCTTTGCTCGCCCTTTTGATGCTTCTGTCCCCCCTCCCCTTTTGCAACAGCGCTACTAAAAATATTTGGCCGTAGCAGGCAGGACATTTTCAAATGAATGTGATTCTTTAAGATGTTTCCCAAAACTTTGATTCTCAGACTTTTGAGCCTTGCCCCAGAAGCCAGTAGCATGGAGACCCTATAGAGATGGATTCCATTGCACGATTAATTAGAAATAAATTAATTTAGCTGGAGATGGAGTCCCTTTCCATAATTGCAGCAATGGCTGATATAGTTGCTTTACATAGGACATAAGTCCCCTTTAAACCCACAAGCATGCTTTTCCCATGGAAACTCCGCACCCAAACATGGCAAACGCACCGATCAAAGGGAGGTGGCATCGGCAGCCCTAATGCAAAACTACAAGTGCCAATGAGTCACATTCACCTGCACCCTACCGGTATTTTGACCCTTATGGAAAGGTCACATCTGTACTAATGGCTGCCACTTAATTGTCTTCCCCAATCCACTTTCTAATGGTCTCGGTTTTCCTCCCCACTCCAAGAATGCCAGTGTCAGCCCATCAGGACCCCAAACGCCACCGCAGCACATGGTTCATCAACAGTCAGATAAATACCTTCTCCCTTGGAATCTTCTTCCCACAGCCTTCGCAAGTCAGTGGAAATTCAGGGCAGACTTCATCATGAGCCTGTAAAAGAATTGACAGGAGAACATTTAGTCCTCTAAATAAAAGCTCCAATGAGGTTATAGGATAAGTACAATTCAACAGGGGTAGTTTTATATTTTGTTATGGGAGAGCGCTGTATTCTACCAACCCATACGCAAATCTCAGTCATGCTGATAATTCTGCATGCTGACCTACTTGTGTGATCTCCAGGCTACCAGAATTTTGGGTGCCTATGTAGCCTCAGCCTCAATTTAAAAGCTGCTATAATTTAAAAGAATAATCAAATTGCTGCTTTGATGGAAAAGATAAGCAACAGGAAGCTCCATTTATGGCTCTGCCAAGAAAATACACGTTCCGGCAGGTTCAGTGAAGTAAGCCACTATTTCAGCAAGATAATTTGTATAATTTTTCCACTGTAATGGTTATCAGTCAGCTTAAGTATGAACCCATAGCCTACTCATCACACACTGGGCTGAGCTGTCTGATAGAATCTTCACATTCAAATCAGAAAATTATTTTTCAAACAGAAAGAAAAATATTTTAAAACAGTTGCATTTAATAGCCCCTCCACACAAGCACCCACCCCTGCAGCAAGAGCACAGGCAGGTTGTTTGGCAGCCAGAGGAACTGAACAAATGATGAGGGCAATGCGATAATCTGTCCTCAGCAGATACTAAGGCCAGCAATACCAGCTAAATTGGGAATGCTAGAATGTGTCTCTGCTTTCTGTGTCATTTCCACACTGCTTAAACCTTCTCTTTACACACCAACCAGGTGAAACAAGGCATTGTAAATGCCATGAAAATGCAGTTCAAAATTCAGATTAAAAGATCAGTGCACTGAAGTATCCTATCATGGTAGTAATAGGAAAAAAAACCAAACACAGAAGCTTTTATAAAGCAGTTATCGGAAACCAGATGCTTTGAAAACTTGGTCCCATTTATTCTTTATTAGAAGAAGTTACAATGGGGGGGGGGAACATGCACAAGCATAAATACTGTCACCCCATCAGAAACTGGAAAGTGAAACCCATTAGTGGCTCAGCTTTGGCTTCTTTGTTACTCTCTCCTTTTTATACTTTAAATGAGTAATCAGACTCAAAGCCTCACGGCACCGTCCCTGGAAAAGTGA